ATTCATTAAATGGAGAAGGATTAAATAGCAAGGACACAAGTACATACCAAGTAAATGTACACCGCAAGTAAAACAACAGTAGGAAATATAAGAAATCGCATTCTATTGCGTTGCTAAAGCTTGAAATGTCAAATGAAACATCATTCCCCTACTAGTGTCTGTGTTTCTCTAAAGGATAAACTACATTATGTTACTGGAGTGCAGAAGATTTGTGTCATGGACTGAAAGTGCAAACATCAAGGCAAAGTGTAATTAAATTACATACTGTATATATGAGGCCTGCAACCCTATCATAATATTTTTCAGATTGTAGCTACTGATGAACAAGTCATCTTTCTTTAGACAACCTTGCATGCTTATTGTGCTTCTAGCAGCGACACATACACATGTAGACAATAACAACAAAATCCAATCCAACAATCTGAAGCAATGCATTTATATCAACATTCGAACGAATACCAGAAATCAATCCAGTTTACTGAATTTTGTACCAAAAATAGACACTTCCCTGCTTTCCTTTTCTCCCTATGACCAATTATTCTTGAAATGTACAAATAGAAAGATAAGTTAATTGATCTTTTTTTGGGTTAGACATGCAAATTGATACTGAAAAAGTCAAGATATTTGATACGTTATGCTTAGAGTGCAACTATGAGGGACGGTAAACTCTTAAGATGTTGTTTAAAAATAAAAGAAGTGCTGCAAATTGTAACCACATATTAGAAAAGGACCACTTCAGAGGGCAAGGTCAAATCCGAATCTCTCAAATGAACCTTTTTGACCCCTCTTTAGGCCCCGAGCAGCTTCTTGACCAGATAGCCTGGCATGCTGTAGAGAAACAGGCCCACCATGATCAGCAGCAGCAGAGCCAAGACGATCTTGATGATGAGCCATTTGTAGCGGTTGCATATCAGGTAGCGGATGGCCTTCAGCGGGCTCAGAAACCACAGGAAGGTGGTGTCAGGCCGGCTGTGGCGGTGAAGGGGTTGCAGGTAAGAGGTGGTGAGTTGAAAAGTTAAACCGTGGATGATGGAGGAAGAGAGGTAATACAGATGTTAGTGGTTAGTATGATGACTGCAAAGTTGTAAAATCTCTTAAAGGCATATTATCCATTTAAAGGGATAGTTCACTCAATATGAAAATGTGTTCGTCTTTTCAAACCTGTATGACTTTATTTCTTCTGCTGAACACAAAAGAATATATTTTGGAGAATGTTTTTTGGCAATGCAATTAAAATAAATAGGGTCAAAACATTAGGTTGCACTTTTTATTGCATTTGTGTTTCATATAGGAAAGGAAATGTCATACAAGTTTGGAACAACATGAGGGTAAGTAAATAAACGATGACAAAATGTTTAATTTTTGTGTAAACTATCCCACAGAGCTGGTAAAAATATTCGCCTAGGACTACCGAATATGTGCATGATACTGTAAATTTGCAGTGGATTGAGCTCAGAGCAGTACAATGACACATCAGGCAACAAAGGTAAGTTCAGAAAGCACAGTAGCAGACAATAGACTATAAATCTAATAAAATTCATAACTAATTCAAATCTTTGCCCAAACAGACAACCACAAAGTACAACAACACACAGATATGCCATAAGAAAGAGATGAGATGATAGAGGAATGACAAAATGGAAAACACTTCATCACCCACAATCCCTCTGGTCCACGCTGTAGGCCTTTAAATACGGTATGAGTAACAAAAAGACAGAAATACACTGTGAATGGCTCAGAGAGAGAGAGACGGAAAGCAGAGAAAACAGAGGCAGTGAGAGTGGGCTACCAGTGGTCTTCCCATCTCCCCTCACACCCCTAGGAGTTTCTTGACCAGGTATCCGGGAATAGAGTAGAGGAAGAGCCCAACGAGGAGAAGGAGGAGCAGCAGGGCCAGAGCCTTCAGGATCAGCCAGCGGTAGTTGTGCCAAATGAAGTATCGTATGGACTTCAGAGGGTTCATGAACCACATTAGACTGGTGTCTGGACGACTTTTTCCAAAACAGGAATGGGGTTGGAATGAAGGAAATGAACAGGAAAGGGTAGGCGGAGGAAAGGGCAGTCACAGAAGGAAGGAAGGATGTGAAAAAAGGAGAGTGGGAGTATTAGAAAGGGAAGTTAACAGTTTCAGAGGGGCATTCTTCACTGGAGAGAACGCTTCTGACTTAAGCCCACTTCATGTGTCAGTGTTTGTGCCATACCTGTAATTATCTACAGTATTTATATGACACTCTTTATGTCTCCTTTCTATAGCTGTATAATTAGCACGTCCTCATCAGTTAGACTGTATGCCCGAAATACTGGCTAATACTGGCTACTATAGAAGCCTGTTTCTGCCTCAGAGTAAAAAGAAAAGGGTCATTGTGAATTTATTTATTTACTGTATTATTGCAACTTTATATCTCACAATGTTACTTAATAAAAATTGTAATTTTATACACTGCCATGGGGTCACTAAACCTTTTTCAAGAAATTCATATTTTAATTCAGGGAGGATTCATTAAATTAATAAAAAGTGACAGTAAAGACATAGAAAATATTTCTGTTTCAAAGAACTGCTATTGTTTTGAGCTTTTATTGAAACAATCCTAAAAATGTATCATAGATTCCACAAAAGCGTCAACATAAATGGTTTTCAACATTGATAATAAGAAATGTTTTTTGAGCGCCAAATTCTGCAGGATCATGTGACACTGAAGACTGGGGTAATGACTGCTGAAAATTCAGCTTTGCATCACAGGAATAAATTACATTTTAAAATATATTAAAATAGAAAACTCTTATTTTAAATTGTAATATTATTACACAACATTACTGTTTTTACTGTAAAAACCTCGTGAGCATAAGAGACTTCTTTCAAAACCATTAAAAAAAAAACTTTTAAATGGTAGTGTACCTGCATGCAACTTTATTTCTTACTTTTTTCTTATTTTAAACTTAAATCTCACAATTAATTTTTTATTTTTTACTCTTAAGGCAGAAACAGGCTTTCATAGTCTACTCTGCGGTATATGAAGTATGATATATTGCATATTTATTCACACACTAAAACTACTGTTTACAAATGTTTATGTACATGAGCGGCTTTATGTCTTACTTTGGTTTCTCAAGTGGCTCAGGTTCATTCCGCCCAAGGCCGACCGGATTCTTCTCTGCCTCCTCCGCTGTCAATAGATGGAGCTCTGCCTCCACTTTCCCCTGCAAGCACGACATGGTTAGAATGTTAATGAGGTAATCTTATGCAATCATTTCAATACACCACATGCTGGCAAATTATCAAGCAAATGTAAAATAACATTTGGGTAATAATTGTTTCTGGTAATGAAATGGCTGTTTTAGTATTTTTCATTTATTTTATTCATTATATTTACTCACTGTGAGCTCAAATTCATCATTCTCATCCCGGGCCACAAATGGCCACCAGCCCTTCACTCTTTTCTGTTTGAAGATGGAGATGGTTGGCAGCTCATGCTCTTTGAGAACCATGTTGAGAGAGCACTGCTTAGCTGTTTTTGCCCCACGGGGAAACTTATTCAAGTCCAGCTCAATCGCACCTGCAAAAATAAACACAGAGAGCATTAAAAATGATTTTAAAGTGGAATGAAACACTTTAAACTGAGCATTAATTACAAAACTGTGTTTATTCTTCAAAGCCAAAATTATCTTCAGTACATGACTTGCATACAGTAAGTCATAAATATCTAATAATTGGTCTTTTTTTGTCTTTCTGAATTGTGAACATACCCAGGAAGTCATCTGCGGAGAAATGGTCAGCATCCCATACTTGAAGGGTGAGTCGAGCAGGAATCTTGTACTCGGTCTCATCCCAGGAAAACATTATTACACAACATTACTGTTTTTACTGTAAAAACCTCGTGAGCATAAGAGACTTCTTTCAAAACCATTAAAAAAAAAACTTTTAAATGGTAGTGTACCTGCATGCAACTTTATTTCTTACTTTTTTCTTATTTTAAACTTAAATCTCACAATTACCTTTTTATTTTTTACTCTTAAGGCAGAAACAGGCTTTCATAGTCTACTCTGCGGTATATGAAGTATGATATATTGCATATTTATTCACACACTAAAACTACTGTTTACAAATATTTATGTACATGAGCGGCTTTATGTCTTACTTTGGTTTCTCAAGTGGCTCAGGTTCATTCCGCCCAAGGCCGACCGGATTCTTCTCTGCCTCCTCCGCTGTCAATAGATGGAGCTCTGCCTCCACTTTCCCCTGCAAGCACGACATGGTTAGAATGTTAATGAGGTAATCTTATGCAATCATTTCAATACACCACATGCTGGCAAATTATCAAGCAAATGTAAAATAACATTTGGGTAATAATTGTTTCTGGTAATGAAATGGCTGTTTTAGTATTTTTCATTTATTTTATTCATTATATTTACTCACTGTGAGCTCAAATTCATCATTCTCATCCCGGGCCACAAATGGCCACCAGCCCTTCACTCTTTTCTGTTTGAAGATGGAGATGGTTGGCAGCTCATGCTCTTTGAGAACCATGTTGAGAGAGCACTGCTTAGCTGTTTTTGCCCCACGGGGAAACTTATTCAAGTCCAGCTCAATCGCACCTGCAAAAATAAACACAGAGAGCATTAAAAATGATTTTAAAGTGGAATGAAACACTTTAAACTGAGCATTAATTACAAAACTGTGTTTATTCTTCAAAGCCAAAATTATCTTCAGTACATGACTTGCATACAGTAAGTCATAAATATCTAATAATTGGTCTTTTTTTGTCTTTCTGAATTGTGAACATACCCAGGAAGTCATCTGCGGAGAAATGGTCAGCATCCCATACTTGAAGGGTGAGTCGAGCAGGAATCTTGTACTCTGTCTCATCCCAGGAAAACATGGATTCCTTCTTAGAGATGACTATCTTCTCCTCAGCCATGAGATAGTCAAAAGGGAAAACAAAGCGCCAGTTGAAGTTTCCTTCCCCGGTTAGAGAGTGATAATGCACGTCTGTGTCCTGTTTATCCTCCTGCTGTCCTTTTAGCCAGCTGAGCAGGGAGACGATTTTCAATTGTTAAAAGCAACACGATTTTAATATTCATACAAAAAATATACAAGCATCAGTGATTTCTTGTGTAAGTCGCATGACAAAACATGCACAAATGTTCT